GCTTAGACTGGAAATTCAAAATAATATATATATTATATATATAAGAGAAAAATTTTAGGTTTGTACTGATAGTTGCAATTTGAACGGAACAGATTTTACGAAAAATACTTGCAGAGGCTTTTCACTTTTGTCACTTCTTTTCAAATAAGGTTCATTGTTATTATCTCTTCTATGCTTGTCTGTAAATTGAGACATTTTGACTGTTCAGGAGCTCTAAATTGGGACTGTTGATCTGAGGAAAAAATAAAACAATCTCTTCCAATTGCTTACACAGACTTTTTTTAAAACCTAAATTGGTGAACAATGATTTAACATCAAAAAATTCAGGGTAACAATGTTTCCTTTTTAACTGGCCCTGTACATATGCCTTTTAAAAGCAGGGAATGGTCTTATTTGACCTTTAAAAGGAGAGGGGTAGTACCAGAAAACAAAACTGATAACTCTGGAAAGGAAAGAGAGTGGTTGCAAAATATTTCCTACACTCTTTCTCTTTTCTATAAATACTAACTAATCAAAACTTAAATTTAAAAATTGAAATGGATAGAACCTCAGTAGAAGAAAATATAATTTTCATGAGCCATTGCATGCTAAAAATTGCAGCAGTTATGTCACTAATCCAAACTTTAGACATCATAAGAAAAGCTGTATTAGTCTAAGGTGGAGGAGTCTGGTAGCACCTTTCTGACTAACCAATGTTATTGCAAGCTTTACTTCAAGCAGTAACTCCCTTCACTGGATTCATGCAGTGGCCAGACTGATGTAGGATTTAAATTGGAGTGAGGTGTGGAGAGGTTGGGATAGAAGAGAGGGAAAAATAGATGTCTTCCTTCTCTTTAATAACCTAAGACTGGTTAGTCAGAAAAGGTGGTACCAGATTCCTTCTAACCCAAACTGTAGAGATTTAATTTCTGAGAATAATGTTAACTCCAGAATAAAGGGGAAATGCTAAAGAAATAACTACTTATTTTTAAGTGTCAGAAATTGCATGAATACATTTTTCATAAAGTTAAATGCAGTTTTTAAAAATAGCCATCAAATTGTGTCAAAAAACTTTTGTAGTTGCTGGGTTATTAACAGCCAGAAAGGAGAGTATGCAAAAAGGAGACCTACTATCCAGACTCTCCATTTTTAAATAGTAACATAGTTAATACACTGCTCTGCTATTGCAGCAACCATATTATTGGGTGTGTGTGTGTTAATATCCTATTCTACTTCAAACATCTACAAGATTCTTCTAAAAAAAACCAAACCAGTTTCTAGTGAGCTTGCCTGAAGTTGCAGATCCAACAACTGCTCAAATGTTCATCTCTATTAATCCATCTCTACCTCATTGCTGTTATATTTAGCTCTCACTGTGAAGTCTACTTCACAAAGGAGAGTAGCTTTCCCTCTACTTTTCAACATTTACCATGAATTGGAATATATAGTTAGGAACTTTGAGACTTTTGAAATATTCTTTTGGATATTTAAAATGTAGTATATTTTAAGACTTTCTTTATAGGAATCTATTTGATAATAGCACTATGCCCATGATTTAGAAGACGTATTTTGGACCTAATGAATCAATTCATTAAATCATACTGTTTTTTTATGCTCTACCACAAGCCTGAAAAAGCAGATAACTGCTTCAGTGTATAGAAATGCTCTGCTCACATTTGAAGTGTGCAAATCTTTACTTTCTTTTTAACCAGGACTGTGCATCTAATTCAGTACAGGTAGTCTTCAACTTACAACCATTCATATAGTGACCACTTAAAGTTACAAGGGCACTGAAAAAACTGACTTACCACCGGCCCCTCAGATTTACAACCTTAGCAGCATCCCTATGGTCACATGATCACAATTTGGGCGCTTGGCAACTACTATATATTTACGATGGTTGCAGCATTTCAGGGTCATGTGATTGCTATTTGTCACTTTCCTGGGTGCCTTGCAATAAAGAAAATCAATGGGGGAAGCTGGTTTTGCTAAACTACTTTGTGATTCACTTAACAGCTGCAGTGATTCACTTAACCATGACAAAAAAGATAATAAAATTGGGCTTAACAACAGAAATTCTGGTCCCAGTTGTGGTTATAAGTCAAGGACTACTGGCATTATTTCTTCTTAAAACAGGTAGACCTCACTTATCAACTGCATTGTGCAATGAATCATTTGATGTTACTATGTAACATTGCTGAAAAAAATAACTTTGCAATTAAGTCATGCTTTTGCAACCTTCCCAGCATCTTTCTCTCAATCCTGTGCTCATCATTACATCAATTTGTACATTTTGTTCTGTTCCTGACCCATTTTTTTTCCTCTCAAAAACGGGAGAGATTGTGTAAACAAGCAATCACTGAAGAGGAAGGGATTGCAAGAGAGTAAGCAGGCATACAAAGAGAAACAAACATTGAAAGAAATGTGCTAATGCCAGTTGTTTGCCTAGCATACTCAGTGCTGAGAGCCCAAAGCACACTAGACAAACAGCCAGTGCTAGCACATTTCAATGTCTATTCACTATTATGTGCCTGCTTACTCTCTTATAATCTCTTATAATCCTTCCTCTATGATGACTTGAAATACAAATATTAATTCTCTTCTTGCTAATTATCCCAGAATCAGGATAAGCATTCCAAAGAACAGGGATGTGGTGGGGTGGGAAGGGAAGAAAGCTGAAGTAAAATTGTAAATATACTCATAGTCAGGTGATTTTCCACATAGTGACCGGGTCACTTAGCAATCAACTTGCCAGTCCCAATTGTCAAAAAACAAAGACAATTTGTAACTCCAAAATTTCAGGATTAAATTATTTCTCATAATCTTTATAATGCAAACTTGGTTTACAATGCTATATTTTGATTGTAAATGGTCAACTAACCTTGATAACTGGCAGCATGTCAAGTCAAATAAATAAATAAGCTACCTACTTCATGCTTTTAATTCCCCAACCAGCCATTGTATCTCCCAAATACTGCATAAAACATCTACTGTTTCTGAAACCTATATTCTCTCCTTTTAAAATAATTAAAGAGAACTTTTCCTTATTTGCTTGTTTGTTATAGCATTGCTGTTCTTCTGAAATAGATTTTGAAATAGCATCAAATGCTTTGTCGCAAAAGATGTCTGTCATATTCATTAAAACTACTGTTTTTTAAACATGGCAACTTTAAAATCATCTTACAGTTGAAATCCACACATCTTAAAACTGCCAAACTTGAAAAACACTGAGTTACTCTGTGCTCTATAACTCTATAGCTGATATATTTTTGTTTACGAAAGATACCTGATATTTATTTATGGCTTGGGGATGATGCCATCTGGGTGGCAATTCTTCAGCAGCAATCTCTTTCTTGGTTGTAGTTAATTTACTTGCATTGCTTTAGTTTTGATCTTTTATAAGATTCGGAGACTCTGTATTTTCACTAACTATTGGGATTTTGGTAGATTTACAGCATAATAAAGCATTCTTGTAATATCATTTTCCATGGTTTAGGTTTGTCTAGATCCTTTTCACTGTATATGTGTATTTGAGTGTGCATTTGTAAGATAATTTTTCTTAGGCCAGTGTATCTATATTAATGTTTGGTGCCTAGCGCCTAGCTATAGTTTAAGCTATTACAAGCAAACTGCAGACATCTACAAATTTCTATTATTGAAATTAGCTTGAATGAATTCTAGCTAAATAGAAACCTTTTGGCTTAACCCTACTACCATAAAATAGCGGCTGATGCTTCACTATGGCCAATACCAGTAAAAGAAATTGCATTCTAGCAATAGCAGGGCATAAGGAATACCAATCGCAAGGCTCACTTCCAGTTTAGTTGATCATAGTAAAGCGCAATCAGACCTACAAATGAACTACTATATTAAGAAAAGAGATCATAGCCTGAAGTCAGAAAAGCCATGGATGTGGCTCCCAGCAATCCCAAAACTTGTGTCTCTTGTGGTAGTGGTGGTGATTTCAAGTCAGCATAGATTCCTGGCAACTATATGGACAAGTCTTTGCAGTTTTCTTGGCAATGTTTTGGAAGTGGTTTGATACTGGCTTTTCTAAAAGTTGTTACCAAATCATAAAATTCTTAATGTGACATGAAAGAATGAAATAAGATCCTGTTTTTTTCTATGTGTGTCATCCCAACTTTCAGGGGATTTTTAAGAATGGCTTCTTAGATGCAATTCAGAGCATTTTTTTCTCTGTGTAATTGAAATGCCTTAGATAGGAAGATGGCTGATCAGGAATGCACCCAATTAGAGCATGCCAAATTAATATAATGAATATGATTAGTAAGATTATCTTCTTGTGCTATTTGCAAAAAAAAACCACTCTCATAGACTGTGAAACATTTTAGTATAAGATTAATAGATCTGTCATTGTTTGTATCCCGTTTGTATTTTTGGAAAAGAGAATATTAATAGTGGGCGTAGATGATAACATTGTTCTTGGAAGCTGGTTCAGATGTTTGACTGATTATTGCACTACTTTGACCCCATTATCTTTCAGCCAATCTGTTTTTGGGGATTGTTTTTAACATGAAATACAAAAAAGAATGTCTGTTACTCTAAGCTCCTTGGAGAAACAAATAATATTGATACAAACAACACACACAAAACTTTTTTCATTTTCAGAGCACCCTTTGCATTAATTTTAGAGGAATCTACTGGATAGGGAGGGGAAGGAAGAGAAATTGTACACCTCTATAAATGTAACATTTTCATGTAGTGAATTAAAAATATACAGCCTTCGGAAGTTACTAGTAGGCTTTTGGCTTCTATGAAACATACTGTATAGAAAAACATTTGAACCATTCACCAACAATTCAGAATACAAAATTTTAAAACCAAAATTGTTTTATGTTTCTGAATTTTCTAAATGTTGACTGGCATTTGTTAGGGATTCCATTTTCCCAACCAATATTTGGAAAGAGGTAAACCTAAAAGATGATTTTAAAATTTAATTTTGTTAAATCATCTCTTTTTTTCCGGGTGTCTTATTTCCAGCTCCTACTGTCTTTATACAGGTCCCCTGGCTTGTCAAAGCTGAAACAATCATTTTCCCATGAATCTTTGCTGAGTCCAGGAGGTCCTATTGAGACTTTGGATCTTGGGACTGATGAGAAAGTCTTTGTCATGCCACTTCATAGTAGTATAATTGGACGAAACTTCTGCTTTGAGGTAAATAAATAACAAATACAGTGGAAGACTGATATATAGTTTCTGATCTTCTCAGTCTTTTTATTCTTTCAATTTTATAAGAATAACCAATTTTGTTGCTTTAGATTTAACATAAGAAGGTTGTGGATTATCCAATGATCAGATGATCTTTAGTACATGAGATAACTGGTATCAGTTATTGAACAAAAATGAACACTTTCAGTTATTTTTCACTCTTAAGAAAACATTGTAGTGAGTGACTAAGAGAAGCAACAAGGAACTAGGACATTTCTTACTGGGCCGTTGTCAATTGATGGAGAGTTGTGTCACAGTTGGGCATGTTAGCAATGCAGCATCAGATAAGGAATTTATTTTCATGTTTTGATTATATCAGTGAAGATTAATGGTCATCTGGTTAGTTTACCTTGATTTATGATTGCTTTTTGCAGTCTTTACTAGTGCATGCTTGAAAAAATTTAAAGTGTTTGTCCAACAGCATCTGCAACATATCACAAATGAGCTAATCTTGTGTATTCACTCTCCCTTTCCTGTCCCCCAAATTTATTGGAGGCAGCTGAAGCACAGCTTAATGTTTTTCTCCTCTGCCTGGATGCGTGTTTCCTTTCCTTAATGCTTTTTATGCTGCAACATCACCATCCCAGATTCAAAAACCTAGTAATTAAGAATAAATGGCCAACATTTTAGGAAATCATCTGGTCTTGGGCAACTTTTTTTCCAACTGAAATATTGAAACATTTTAGGTAGAAAGAAGGCATCTTGGGAGATTCAATGATTTCCTAAGATGTTTGCCATTAAAAGGGGGGGGGGAATGATTATTTTGATGTATGACTCAATTACTGCTTCCAGTATCCTTCAAAACCACAGTTTTTCTGGACCACAAATTGGGAATAATTGACTTTGGTATTTAATATATTCAAGAGCTTTTCAACTAATTTCCTTAATACATTTTTTCAAAATATTTTTTCCTCCTTTGGTATTCTTAATGGGAAAAATAAAATAGTAAGTTTTCCATTTAGATAACTGAATTTGGGATGTATTTAAATATATATTGAGCTAAATCACTATGTTATTGATTTAATATGGAAACTATATACATGTGCACAAATACACATTGATGGAAAATCAAAGATCTTCTCCTGGTTGTCATGGAAATTGCCTAGCAGATGTGTTCCTTTCAGGGAAGCCAGAAAAATTGCAGTATACTTTTTATTGATATTTCATTCAGTACAATACCATAGTTTAAATACAATGAGTAGGTGACAAACTTAGATTTATCTTTCATGGGAAGTAGCTCTCTCACAAAGACCAAAGAGCATTTAAATATAATTAATAATTTAAACAGTCATATTTTAGCAGTTCTCCAGTATGATGTTTCAGATTTCATAGTAACCAGATTATAGTCTTGCTACGGAATAACCTAGACCTAATTAAAGGGGAGTATCAATTAATGAAACCTTATTAAGGGGAGTGTCAATTAATGAAAAAAATTAGCATCATATTTAATGCAATTCTATGTTATATAGAATTCCCATGTTTTCCTTTTCAAACTTGTTCATTATTCTTATTTTCACTGCTTTCCATCTCTTTTAGTATCAAATTCAGATCATGTCCTTTTTCTGTAAAATAGAACACATGCTTTTTATAAGCAAATATAAGTGTTTATAGGCTGTTCATCACTTTGGATTCAAAAGACAAAAAGTGCTTTAGAGCACATGAGGGCAGACACATACCCTCTTTCGGTAATTCTTCAATCTATCCTTCCTGCTATATCTACAGAATCCCTGGAGAGACATATAGTAATTGATTTAAGAAGTTGCCAGTCAGTGTTACATGAGGGCTGATGTGGAGTCAAAGTACTTTTTTTCTCTTTAAATCTAAAGCACTTTACAGCCTTGTTAGATATAGCTTCAAATTGGAAAATAGAAATAAAAAATGATTTTGCAACAATGATAAAAATATTGCTTAGAAAACTTTTGATTTATGACTAACATTGCTATAAACTATAAAAAGCAGTTGCTTAAAATGTCTCTCAATGCTTTTTATTATTTTATAGGTAAATTTATTAATTTAATCATCCTTATAGGCTAAATTTCCATTTGAAAGCTGTACTCTCCAAGTTAGGAGGATTTGGTGAACATTTCAGCCACAATTAATAGATTTCAAATTAGATCATGTTTCTGACACTTGGAGCTTTGTAATACCCCAGTGTGTTAAGATAATCAATGTATTAGTATTCTGTTTAAATTTCCCTGTTAAGCTACTATGTTATAAAGTATCTCTGCTGTTTTTTTTTCACGCAGCTACAATCTCAGCTGTAAGCTTAACTTGACTTTCTGTAATATGTTCTAGATATCTTGTTCCACTTATAGTAAATGCTTCAGTTGCACTTCTGCTACTGAAAGAGACGTCTGGATGGAGAACATACGGAGGGCTCTCCAGCCTAACAAGGTATAGTGTAAAATGCAACCTCAGAAAAGCATCAATTGGAAAATGCATCCTGATTAGTAGCTGGGGATATCAATCCCCTCCTCAAACAAGTATAGCCTTCTAAGTAGATTTGTGGCATCAAATTAGCTGCCTCAGAAAGAAAACTGCTTAATAAACCTCATTTAGACATTGTTGATCAAAAAATATGATAGATTACATCTTTAACCTGTAAATATGTGACATTGTTAGCACTGATTTTATTGTTCAGAGTACTTTGGGGAAATGATTGAAATTATTTGTGTGTATGTCTGTGTGTATCAGTGCAGATTTAGAATTTATCACATTATGAAACTGTTCCTAATTGCTGGCCATTGTTGCCAATTTCAGTGTTTAATATATTAATGCTGAACATGACCATCTACTTTCTTCCAAGTGGACTTGGAAGCACTCTACTTTCATTACTCTTATACATGATTTATAATAGGAGAGACACAGAGGAGTGCTGACCTTGTTTAACTCTCTGGAATTTCACAGTATTTGTCAATGCAGAATAGTTATAATATGCTTCTCTAGAAACTGGGGGGAGGGTAGCCAAACAACCATTACTTCTCCAAATGGTTTTGGATTACCATCCTGTCATTTCTGATCATTGGGAGATTTTAGTTTAAAAAAATCCTGAAAGAGGACCTTCCTAATATACAAGGTGCTAGGTGAGGTCATTCTGGAAGAGGCACACAGTTGCCAAAAGGCACATTGGGGTGATGGCTTCCCAATATCTCAACAAGACTCCAAGATATTCTCCACCAACCCAAGTGACCTTTCTAAATTCTCAATTATATTATTTCCTATTCCTCTTTATCAATAGTAGGATAATCCTTTATGAATGATTGCTACCTGAAAAAACAACTAACAGAGAATAATCTGAAACTTAATCCAGATTTAAAAATATAATATGGCTATGAAAGATAAGAATCACATAGAATAAACATTCTTTGTGATAAGTAAACCAAGTGCTTTTGTCTCCAGGATAATTGCCGACGAGATGAGAACCTGTTACGTCTTTGGATCATTGAAGCCAAAGGTTTGGCCCCGAAGAAGAAGTATTTCTGTGAAATATGTCTGGATGAAATATTAGTCGCCCGTACTACCAGTAAATCAAAATCTGACAATATTTTCTGGGGTGAACAGTTTGAGTTCTCTAGCCTTCCACCCACCTATCACATTACAGTCCACATCTATAAGGACACTGAAAAGAGAAAGAAAAACTTTAAGAATAATTATATTGGTCTGGTCAGCATTCCCATAGTTACTGTAACAGGTCGACAGTTTGTGGAAAAGTGGTACACCATCAGCACTCCCACAGTCAATAAGGGGAAGTCTGGTGTGCCATCCATCCGGATCAAGTCACGGTACCAGACCATCGTCGTCCTTCCTATGGAAAAATATAAAGAGTTTGCTGAATTTGTAACTAACAATTATACCGAATTATGCTCTGTTTTGGAACCAGTGATATGTGTCAGAGACAAAGAAGAGATGGCCTGTGCTATGGTGCACATTCTTCAGAGCACTGGCAAAGCAAAGGTAAGAATATGTAGAACCACCACTCCTTTTGTTGGAGTAACCAACAGACACTCCAAAAGCTACTTATGGCTGTTTTTCAAAGTTACAATAGTCTCACCACCTTGTGATCGCATGATCACATTTTGGGCACTTGGCAACCAGCTCATCTTTACAGCCATTTGTGACATCTCATGGTCACGTGACTGTAATTTGTGATATTTTTTTGCCAGTTGCCATGTTTACTTCCAGTTTTGGGCAAAAACACATATATTGGAGAAAATTGATTTGCTTAATTACCATGGTGTTCACTTAATAATTGCCACATTTTTTCCTGGTCTTGTCACATGATGCCTCAATTTATGATTGCAGCAACTAATGACCCTAATGACAGGCTCAATTATGGTGTTCAGTCAAAGGCTACCTGTATTTCTATCCTTTTTTCTAATTGCCTGCTCAGTATCTTATAGATTAATTTATAGCCCTCAGATTAGCAAACTCAGCAAACAGACTCCTACCAAAAGATTAGTATCTGTTTTGATTCAGTGCCTATTTTGAATTGTGGGTCCAGCAGAAATAATTGTTAAGCATTTGCAGTGAGATGCAGAGCTCTTCAGATTCCACCTCCACCCCTCAACATCCTTCTTTTCCCTGGTGCCACAGCCTCTTTTAGGGCCAGTTATGAACTTAGATTATGCATGTGTCTTTTACTTCTTTAGATATGCTGCACTTTATTTGGAAATAAGAGAACATTCCTCTTCTGGAGGGTAAAATAGAGCCCATTGTTTCAAATTTACTCTCAGGTTTGAGTTGTGTGGGCAAATCTCTGAAGGACAGTCTTAAGCAGGGCATAGTTCTTAAAAATAATCCTCAAAGAGCAGAATATACAGAATAAAATTTTACTAGATACAATGTGAAACCATGTTTGTCTTTTTATGGCATTCGCCTTTGATTCCTAAAAGAAGATTTGTTTCTTTTTTCAGAGAGCTTGTGGTAAAATGTTTATTCTCCCAAAAGCTTTGTGAGAAAGGATAGGTTGACAGAGAGATGTCTCTAAGTTTATAGTGAAGCTAAGGGAGATTTTAGTCTAAACTTCCCTGGTGTAAAACCAGTATTCAATTATGCCACACTAACACAAGTGTCTTCTTATGATGCAAAGTGGGGTGGGTCCTTACATTAGACAGGACTTGCAAAATTAATCCACCTTGCCGGGGGATTTTGCAAAAGATTACCATGTCAGACAATGGAGCAAGAAAGGGGGAAAACTCCCCGGAAAGAGAGCCGCTGCCCCGACTGGAACCTTGCCGTATGTCGGGATCCGAGAGGTCAGATTCCTCAGGAGAAGAAGTGATGGAGACATGGGACCACAAGCCTTGCTGGTCAATGGGCGTTGGAAAGAAAATCGAGTGGGGAAAGAAATCAAGAAAGGTGACCCTGAGACGGGGGGCCAAGCAACCAGAATGGAAGCAAGAGATGGAGAAATCCCTGCACGCAAGTGGAGAGGGAGAAAGCTGGGCACCGTACTCGGACTGGCTCCTAGAGAAAGCTATTGACCTGATGAAGAGAACTCTCAGCTCCCTAGGAGAGGAGAATCCTGAGCCCTACGGCCGCCCCAGCTCCTGAAGCCGCAAAGGGGGAAGTGGAACCTGCAGCCCAGGGGACATCTGCTCATCCAGTAGTCCCCACCCCCTGCCGAACCACAGATGGCGATCTGGACGGAAGACACTATCACCAACAACAGAGGCACCGATCTGTTCCAAGACGTCCGCCGTTGGAAGTGAAATTCAAAGGGGAGCCAACACGCTTGGGGTTTTTCCTAACCCAAGTCCTCAGCTACATGGAGGAATACAGGCGGGACATCCCCAGCGACAAAGCCCGCATCCGGATCGTGCAATCTGCCTTGGACAGACCGGCTGCAGATTGGGTGGTGAACTTGCACGACTCCAATGCCCCAGAGCTCAACAACTTCAACCATTTCATGTCCTCTCTGAGAAGGCGATTTGAAGACTCCCTGGCTGATCGCAAAGCCCGCGAAAGGATAAAAATGATGAGGCAAGGCAAACGCCCAGTGGCTGAATATACGCAAGAATTCCGGGCCATTGCCAGCAAACTGAACTGGCCAGAAGACATCCTCCTTAGTCATTTCAAAGACGGACTAAATTATGACCTATATGATGCTTGCCTGCCCCAAGGGGACCCACACCAACTTGAGGAATAGTACGTCTTGGCAGAGGAAGCAGAGATCGACATATTGAAGAGACACCGCCAAGGAAAACAATGGAGCCACTCCCCGCCTGAGTTGACACACGAACCAGTGAAACCATTGGCTACAGCCAAGAAGCAAATGGGGTGTTTCAAGTGCAGAAGAGAAGGGCATCAAGCTGTAGAATGCCACTCCAAAGCCCCCCAGCACAACCCAGACAGATCCCCAATCAGCAAATCCAGAAAGTCTTCAGCTAAGCCAAAAGAAAATGCCATGAGAATGATGGAAATTGTGGAACCCCCCACCTCTGTTCATCAGGGGGAAAGAACTCCAGCCTACACCGCAGGGCCGGTGGATGCCTCAGATGACAGCTCAGAAAGTGAACCCCTGGTAAGTGGACGCATCGCACCCATCATCAAGACAGTGACTATATTAATTCCCCCCATGCTCGAAGCCGTGAAGGTGAAAGCCTTAATAGACTCTGGCTGCACCTGCTGCCTCATTAGCCCGACACTTGTGGGGAACCTGGGCATTCCGTCGAGGAGACTGGAACAACCAATCTCATTTGGCCAGTTAGATGGATCCATAGCAGGGGGGGTGCCAGCTACCCTACCCACTTACCAATACACCTCTCCTTGGGCAAACATGAGGAGGACATAACATGACCCAGGCATGGAATGCCCAATGATCCCAGGGATGGAATGGTTAAAAAAATGGAACCCCTGTGTGAATTGGAGGATGACAGAAATCAAATTCCCGAACGGGGACCCTATGGACTTAAAATCCCAAGGGAGGCTACCAGAATCAAGAATAGAAAAAGCATCCATGGGAGAGGAAAAGGGACCACCAGAAATACCAGAGGAATACAGAGATCTTGCTGAAGTTTTCAGTGAGGAGAGGGCGGATGAGCTCCCCCCCCCACCGACCCACAGACTGTGCCATTGAATTCAAGCTTGGGACAAAACTCCCGAAGCCCAGATTATACTCCATAAGCCCAAAGGAGAAGGAGGAAATGGAAAGATTCATAAAAAAAAAAAAAAACTAGAGAGGGGTTTCATTCAGCCAGCCAAGCTTAAAGTGGCTGCCCCGGTCCTCTTTAGAGAGAAGAAGGATGGCTCTTTACGCTTATGCGTGGATTATAGGGCCCTGAATACAGTCAGTGAAAGCAACCTATACTCTCTGCCCCTCATGAAAGATATGCTGTCACATCTCTCGAAAGGGAAAAAATTTTCTAAACTAGACCTAAGGGAAGCTTACTATCGCATGAGAATTAAGGAAGGAGACAAATGGAAGACCGCATTTAACTGCCCCATGGGGTGCTATCAATTCAAAGTCTTGCCATTTGGATTACAAAGGGGCCCTGCAATATTTATGCAATTAATCAATGATGTTCTAAGGAAGCACTTGTTTAAGGGGGTGCTTGTTTACTTGGATGACATTCTTATCTTCACTAAAACAAAAGAGGAACATGTCAACCTCGTCAGAGCAGTTTTAAAGAAACTGCGAGCCGCCCACCTATATGCCAAACTCTTGAAATGCGAATTCCACCAGGAAAGGATAGACTACCTAGGTTATCGCATATCCCCCCAGGGCATTGAAATGGACCCAGAGAAGGTCAGAGCAGTATTTGATTGGGCACCACCCTGCACAAGAAAGCAACTACAAAGTTTTCTGGGCTTTGCAAACTTTTACCACCAATTCATCCCCTCATTTGCCCAGATAGCCTTGCCCCTCACTAACTTACTAAAAATGAAGGGAGCATCCTCAGTAAAAACTAGCCAGCCACTAACATGGACAATGGAGTGCCAAGCAGTGAGAGATTAAAGAGACTTTTTTCTGCCGAACCAGTACTAAGGCACCCAGACATGGATAAGCCCATCGTAATATAGGCGGATGCAAGTGATGTGGCAGTGGGGGCTGTTCTATTACAAGAAAACGATGATGGGGTATTGCAACCCTGTGCATATACATCCAAGAAACTCACGGAAACAGAACAGCGCTGGCCCGTATGGGAGAAAGAGGCATAAGGGGTATGTTGGGCATTACTCATGTGGTGACAGTTCGTGGAAGGCAACAAAATCCCCTTCCAGGTGTGGACTGATCACAAAAATTTGGAAGCCCTGAAAGTGCCCAGGAAACTCAATCCCAAACAAGCCCGCTGGTCCCAGCATTTTCACCAGTTCCAATTTAAGCTCAAACATTTACCAGGGAGAAAGAACTTCCTGGCAGATGCACGCATGCCCCAATGTAACAGCATGCGAACCACAGACTCTAAACCGATGATGGCAGAATCACAACTGGCAGCACCAGTAACCACCAGAGCCCAAGCTAAAATAAAACCATAACTGAGCAGCCAAACTGGAATTAAATTCCGGAAAAGTTTGGAAACAGATGAATGGTTCCAGAAAAACAAAAATGTGTGCACAATGAGAGACGGGTTGCCTTGGGTAGGGGAAAAGTTATATATACCAACAACCCAAAGAGTCACATTCATGCAGCTTTGCCATGACACAAAATCAGCAGAGCATTTTGGATTTGTAAAAACTTTACACTTAATTAAACGGCAATTTTGGTGGCCATCCATAAAAAAGGACATAGAAAGCTACGTAGTCAGCTGCCCAAAATGTGCTACTGCAAAGAGGTTGCAAGTGAAATCGCCAGGACTATTACAAACAATGGCAAATTCTTCAGCTCCCTGGATGGAAATAGCCATGGATTTTATAGTGGAATTGCCAGAAAGCAATGGGAATACTGTTGTCTGGATGGTCACGGACTTGTGTTCCAAACAGGTGCACTTTATCCCTTGCCAAAAGATTCCCAC